TCTGTCCTCCAAGGGCCCCCCACGGTTGTGTCCTGGGGGGCGCTCAGGGCAGGGCCCGGAGCAGGAGCTACAGTCTGGTCTCTGTGGCCTTCTGGCCTCTGTCCTGGCCAGCAGACGCTCATCTCTACATGGTGGGGAGGGGTCAGACCAGTGGCTGTGACTCTGTGATTTCGATCTGCCCCAAAGACACACTCCATATTGATTCTGTCGCTGGCCTAGATGTGAACGACCGCTCGGGCAACAATCAAGCCATCATTAGCAACAAATTAAAGTCAGCATCCACGAGGCACAAGAGCAGGCCGCCGAAAGCCATTCTTGGAGGGCACTGATGACCTTGACAGAGGGACAGTTAACGAGGGGTCCACAGGAAAGCACCGGGTGGGTCGCTGGCCTTCAGTTATTACCGAGGGGAGATAGAATTTTGTATCATCATGACTGTTTCTTACTAATTTTGTAGCTTAGTCTAGTAATCAGGATTGATCAAATAGAAATAATATCGGAAATAGCATCTCAACAAGATTTCCTCACGGAAAGGTCCTGGAAACAAAAAATGCAAAGTTTTTTTTCTCAGTGCTGTACGAAAATTCCCAGGGTGTCTGTCTGTGGCAGAGAGTACTTTCCAGACGTGGCAGAGCAGTTCCTCTCGCCGCACATGCCCTTACAGGTCCTCCCCATCCAGAGAGGCGTCCACACCCCCGTCCCTGGCAGGGTTCGAGGGGTGTGCATGGGCCACGCAGGACAGCAACGAGGTGAGGCCACAAGTGGGACATGTGCCTCACCCAGCGCCAAGGTGGGAAGACGCCCACTGCCCAGTTTATTATAATTTTCCTGTGAAACTGGTCACCACAGCTGCCAGGAAAGTGCCCTGCGGTGGCTGACACCACACGGTCGTCTGTGATAAAACCCGAAACGGGGGAAAAGATCTTACAACTGGCTAAACACAGCTGGGCATCCTTGGACGACCGCATGCAGACCCCTTCTGCTGCTCCCCGTGGGGGACAGGGACAGGGGTGTTGTACAGGTGCACATTTGCAAACCTGCTCGTTCACTCTGGGAGGTTCTCTTATCTCCCCTGCTTACCTGGGAGGAGACCAAGACACGAGAGATGAGGGCACGGGCAGAAGTAACACAGCTAACACGCAGCTGCACCACCTCCCACGTACAAGGAGACATTAAACACACGGACTGGGTCTCATTTTCCACCGGAGCAGCTGGGACTCTCCAGGTCCAAAGTGAAGTTCAACTATTAGCAACCGCCATATGGTTCACGTGTGTGGTCTTTCCTGACTCAACCTCGACTGTATGCTTTCCATGTTTCACTGTCTGTGTGTTCGTGTGAGCTAACTGAAGCTTTGTGAGATGAAGGCACGCATATACACACGTTTATACTTAAGAGATTGTACTTATATAAGTGTCAGTGTTGCCAGGACGAATACTTTCTTGCTGAACACTAGACATAGATAATTCTATCTCCGTTATTTGCGCGCTGAGCTGGTAAAGGTTTTCCCTGTGAAGCTCCACAGGGGTCTGTCCCTACAGGCCGTGTGCCCCTCACTTAGCCATGGGCGCCGTTACACGTGGGGGCAGGGAGGCGATGTTCCCATGACCCTGGGGTCCTGCAGCTGGGATCAAGCTCACCAGATGTGCTGAGTACTCATCCCTTCTGCTCTGACTCTGGAGATGTGGGTCGTGTCTAGAAGGAGCCATACTCATTGGGAAAGAGCAGGGGTGCCCTCTTTTGGGGATTTTGCTCCTTTGTCACTATAATTTAGGGACAGGCTTCTGCTGACCTCAACTGCCTCACCTGCCCTTGTTTTGTGGCCAGTGGACTCTGGACGGAGGGATGGTGACCGTTCCGCCTTCCTTGCTGACTGCTTTCCAAATGACGAGGATCGTGTACGACATACGTGGGGGTGCATGGTGGAAAACAAAAAAAAAGCTCGGTAACTGGCCAACCACAAAATGACCTGGTTCCCCAAAGCTTAGACAACACATAGCTCTCTAGGCTACCGTGTTTTCTTCCTCTTTGGGTAACCAGGCAAACAGTCCTAAGTATAACCACACACTGTCAGGAAAAAAACATTACAGGAGGAGACGTAGAAGTGTGCTCGAATGAGTGAGTCATTTAGATGAAGAACAATCCTTCATTGGGATCTTCCCATGAAATGAAACGGTCAAAGTCCTCAGGGCATTGCTAAGTACGCAGCTGGCTCTGGCCTTCACGGAGGCTGGTTTTAGCTGTGCGCTCTGTGACTGTCAGCCAGCAGCTCCAGGTACCTGCCAGTAGTCTGCCCCTGGCCGTGACCTCCCAGCCCCTCTGATTCCGTCCCTAAGCCAGGACTCTGACCACCTGTGGGACAACAGTCTTTCCTGACATTCGCAGAGATCTTGAGGACCTGGATCCTGTAGAGATGTGTCAGATAAAGGATAAGGTCCATGCGTCCGACACGTGGACAACGTGAGTGCCAGGAGCTTCAAGATTATCGCCACCTGGTTGCTAATGACTCAGGGTTCATAGAACATCGCGAGGCATGGGGTTTTTTTTTATGGTACTTGGGGAAATTTTGTCTAGTCAGGGAAAGTGGGAGGCAGCTGCTGACTTCATCTGGACTGACATTCGCACAACGCTTCATAATTTAAAAAAAAAAGCTCAGATACATCTTCCAAGATTAGGCAGCCACGATCGACAGCCAAGATCCACTGAGATTCTTCTTCCCTCGTCACTCTGCCCCTTTGCACTGGGGTTTCTCCGGATTACAGGAAAGCATCAGGAGTGGGGGATTATCGCAAGTTCAAGAACAGATGCCCGCAGTCCCGCAGGAACTCCTGGTCTGTATTAGTCAGGCTTCCATGGGAGCCGGCCACCCTCGCTCAGGGTCACGTGCCGTCAGGTGGCCACACCTCACACCTCCCTTCTCCTGTGACTCAGCCTGGATTCAGGGTCAGCTGCCCGTGTTGTGAAGGTGATCATTAGGGATTGTTTCCTGACCTCGTGAGGACTGCGCACCACGACCCCCACATAAGCGTGCCCAGTGCTCTCGCTGGGGAAGTCACAGGAAACGACCCAGGCGGCGTCTGCTTGTGCCGCTATACCCCTATTCGTATGGCCTCTGCACGTTCAATGCTGAGAACAGATTCACAGATTACTCACGTGACAAACGCAGGTTCGTGCCAAGATGGAAACGGGAGCACAGTCACCCGTACACACGGCTCCGTCTCCAGACTGAGTATCCACTGAGAGGGCCGGAGAGGGCTGCGTTCGGAAAATCAAACCCTGCTTGTGTCGACTTCGGGAAACACGTATCACAGGAGACCCTTCTTCCCTGACACTATGTCACAAGTGCGTATGCACACGTGTGCAGAGTGTGTCGAAAAGGAACAGGGGTACAGACACTGTTGTGAACACTCCTGAACGCACGTAACCAGGGGAATAATGAGGAAGATGATGTTTGCTTTAAAATAAGTAAGCTCAGCCAGCATCCTTCTAGAAGGTACTCTTGTCATATAGGAAACCTAGAATTGGACATTTTTATTCTGTCGTTTGCTTTTATGTGTTTAATATACATATGGAGTTGGAATATGGGAGCAGAGAGGTCGTCTAGAGAAAGAGCTTTGCAGATGGACTTATGATGGAAATCGACACTCAGATGCTCCATCCAATTCTGCAGACCTTCCCTCTGCATTCGGAGCACCTGCGGTGGCGTCTGGCCTCATGTACTGGCTGCTTCTCCCCTCTGGTCCTCTGGCCTTGAGGGATGGGGGCCCCACTCTGGGAAGGCAGTGGACAACACTCGGGCATCACCCCCTGCCCCCCCCCACCGCCGATCAAGTTCTCAGGAAAACCAACGTGCAGCAGATGTGACCAGTGCAATGCCGATTCCTCTCACGCGGACCCCACTGGTTTCCATAAACTGGTCTGCATTGTTTTCAGCCTCTGCGCCTCTGGGTTATGCTGAGTTTCACGACAGTTTAAGATGTCAAGGGAGTGGGCAGTGGTACTTCTGTCATTACTGCCATTTACTCAGGACGGAATCATAGAAGAGAAGGGATTTTTGAAAAACAGCAAACAAATCAGAGATAGGAAAGTGGGACGGCTTTTCCTGCCAGGGGACTGAAAGTACTGAGAAACCCTTTACTCAAGTAAGCAGCGACCAGGCTAGGGAGCATGGGGAGGAGGCCCGTCTGCCATGGGCGTCATAATCTGCAGGCACGACACACTGCCCAAGGGACACTCCCTTTGGTAGCCAGAAAACTGCTCCCTTTCCCTCTGATAGGCCAGCGAGCGCCCTGGGTCTGGGCACGCTGCAAGCTGCCCCTTTGCTCCTATAGCTTTGGGGGTTCTTGGATGAGAACACAGCAAGGCACGTGACAGATCGGTGTTGCGTCTTGCTCAGCCGCGTGATCGTGGCAAGTCATGGCGTACCGCAGTCCCACGGGAAAGGTAATTTTCTTAATGTTAAAATCAAACGAGAAGGCATTCGTTCTTTCTCGGAGGGGAGTGGAGCAGAAATGCTGATGAGTCGTGCCTGCCAGCGGGCTCCACAAAAAAGTAAACTTTTATAGAAAACGGTTATTTTCAACACCTCCTGAGTCATTCTTTGTGGTTGAAATATCTGGGCTCTGGGACAGTCTCACTTCCTGTTATTTCTGTTTTATAGGCCCCGTTAGGTTTTCTACCCACAGTGGTCAAATAAGTAGAGAAATACTGTACAGCTCGTCTACACCTGGAAAGTCTCTGGAGTCTACGTACAAGACGGCACAAAGCACAGGAACAAGAACTAGACGGCGACAGCTGTCATTGGCCACCTGCATGGTCATGTCGGGGAGGACAGATGGCAGGAGGCTGACCAAGGGGACTTACCCATGTTCCTCCGGCCTCTGCATTTTCAATACTGAGAACAGATTCTCAGATTACTCATGTGACTAAAAACTTAAAACTTTCCCCAAATGCGTACATCTGTGCACAAGAAGCCCCGGCCTCCGGTTTCCCGGTCACATACCGAACACCTCGTTGTCTTCCGAGGCCTCCCGGGAGAGCTGGCGCATGTCCTTCTTGTCAGACTCTCCTGCGCTGCTCTCTCCGTCCTGGAAACAAAACAGAACAAGACCCTCTCTTGAGATCTGGACCTTTGTCAAGGAGATGGTTGTGATACCCTTTTCTTCTTATAAAATTCGCAGTTAATCACCATCCCCTGCTCATTGCCCGGCTGTGAGGGTCTCCGGGTTCGGGTGGGCTTTCTGCAGAGGCTTGAGCTCCCACCTCTTTTCTCTGCCTGGGCTGCAAGCACTCTCTGGGCCGTGGATTATTTTTGTACAAAAGAAACGGAATAGCACCTGGGACAAAGTGCATCGGCCGGTCATCTTGCGTGTGTTCTGGGAGCCGAACCGCCTAGTCCCCGTTCACGGTGCAGGGGGTGGATGCATGGGAAGGCGCGGACTCTGAATCGGCCTTCCTTAAATTCCAATCTCGGTTGCCTGGAAGACAGGCAGGGCAGCCCTGGTGCCAGAAGGGGCCCTTTCGGGGGCAGAAATCCATGCCGATGTCCCCGCGGTGCCAGGAGGCCACAGAGGAGGGGTCAGGTGCCACCACCGGGCTGGGCTGCCCTCTGGCCTCCCTTCTACTCTGTCATGGAGCCCTACCGCTGCACCAGGCACACATTCGTTTTAAGTTTATATTTTAAGGTTATAGGGTAGATGAGATTTTAGTTTCTTCTTATTTGTTTACTCAATTGTATCTCATTAGTGTGACAGGGAACGCGACTGCAAAAGGCTCTGCCCAGGGCACAGCAGAAAGGACTGCCCCTTCCCTCCGCATGTCCCTGCCAACCGCCACATGTCTGCACCCCTCCACATCTCCGCGCCCCCCCCCCACCCCGTGCCCCCTGCATCTCCGTGTTCCCCCCGCATCTCCGCGCCCCCCTGGCAGGTCCGCATCTCCGCCACCCAGCACCCCGTCGGGCCTCCCTGCGCACGCTGCTCTGAGTCTTGCTTTGGTCTGGTAACAGGGAACGCTTGCGGTGGCTTCACGCGTCCCACACAGCACCATCTGACCTTCCTTCGTGGCCACAGTGTGCCCTGCACTTTGGTTACTCCCAGGAGCACTGTCACCAGGCTCCTGCCCCTGACCATTGACCTGGTTTGCAATTTTCTCAGTTATGACCAGCACTGCGGGAGCTCACGGGCCACAGGCACAAAGGGACATGCCCAGATCCTGGCTCCCCTCGGCCTCTCTCTGGCCTCCACCCTTCTCTGAGTCACTTTTCCCAAGCTTCTCTCATTCCCTGAGTCTCCAGCTAGGACCAAGAGACAGGTATCCCTCCCGCTGTACATTCTCCTTCTGAAGAGCCGGATAGGCACCGTCACCAGGGCTGTAAGCGGGGGAGCCAGACTGCTTGGGAGTAAACTCTGGCTTGGCTTTTGTTTATTAGCTGTGTGACGTTGGACAAGTCACTGAACCTCTCTGTGTGCTTCGGTTCCCTTTTCTACAAAGGAGAGGAAATAGTGACCTTGTGTGGTTGTGTTGTAACAAGGGTTGGGAAAGTTAGTATTTGTAAGCACTCTGGGCATACAAGGCACACAGGAACTGCTCTATGACTGTTTGTTAAGTAAAAATGGAAACTCTGGGAAAAGGTGACAATCCTCCCTTCTGCCTTGGCTCTGGCACCTGGCTGCCTCCTCCCCTGGCTTTGGCCTGCTCGGCTTCCCCGCGGCCCTCCTGAGGGACTCCCGTCCTTCGCTGTCAGATCTCTGGGAGGCTGGAGGGGGCAGGTGGCGCCCAGGGCTGGTGCCCGCTGCAGGGAGCTCCTGGGGCCGAGCGGGACCGGCGCCGTCTCGGGGACACTGCCCGCTCCGGGATCCCCCACGCAGGGGGACCGGAACGCCTGCGTGAGGGGTGGGGTGCGTGCAGGGAGAGAGATGCTTCGTGAAGCCAGCGGGCAGTCCCCTAAGCCAGGACTTCCCGTCTCTGGACTCGCCCGTCCCTCCCAGGTCTCGGGGCTTTGAGTGGGCTTTGCTGCTTGCGACAGAGACCGCCTTGACGAACAGGCATCTTCTCGTGAGGAAGCCATGAATTACTACTCCATCAGCGGAAAGTCTGATTCGGACCAAGACAGATTCCCGGGTCGGGACAAGCACATGCAGGCAGCCAGCAGGTGGGAGAGAAGGCGAGGCCCAGGCGGCAGGGGACCTCGGTGGCCTTGGGGAGGCAGAGGCCAGCCCTCCGGATTCACAGCAGCAGGCCTTCTGCTCCCCAAACCCCCGGTCCCTCTGGAAGCCTGAACGGGTGACCAGCATTTGTAATCTTGTTCCCACAAGTAAATTCGAGCCAGGGTCATGAGGCACATTGATAATTAACACTGTAACATGGGGGGGGGGGGGATCTGCTATCACCGGTTGGCCAGTAAACTAGCTTGGTGGTTCCCGAGCTGAGATCCAACGGTCTCACCAGTAACTACTAACACAGACTAGTGCGCTCCGGGTCACAGCGACTGAAGAGGTAACAGTGGGACAGGGATGAGATGGCATTTTCTAGCGTATTGACAACATTGAGGAAAAAGCAACTTCCAGTGTTGGGGGTTCAGGGAAACAGGAAGTCTCCAGGAACCGGAATAAACGTTCACAGCCTCTTCCGTGGGACAACAGAACCAAGCTGACCCTCTGCCTGGAACAGCCCTCCCAGCCTCCTGCCCTCAGGGGCCAGGCGGGTCAGAGTATGGGGGAAGGTATCTGGGAGCGAGGACCTCACTCTGCCTGGCACCTTAGCTCCCCCTCCTCCTCCCCAGGTGGGTCTGAGCCCCTTCCCACTGCAGACCCCCACGGACTCACTCCTCTCTCCCCATCACACTGCAAAGTGTCTGAGGGACACAGGGATCTTGCCTTATAAGCCTCTGTCCCTAGACCTCGCCACGCCTGACACCCAGCAGGTGCTGGAGAGAAAACTGCTCAACTGTTGTGTTTAAAATGGGTAACTCCTGCTTCAGCAGGGGAAGCCAAACGTGGCTGACCATGTATTTTTCCATATCTCCCTATTTAGTTCGGGAGGAGAGCAAAACTTGAACAGAGAACACTTTTGGACTGATTGTCCCATCAGCTGGAAGTTCATGTCCCGTGTCCGGGTGTCACGGCCCGCTTTGAGGATGACCTCAATGTCCTACTCTTCACTTAGTACAAAACAAGGATTACTGGAGAAGTAATGCCACACATTTTAGCTGCCATTTTTATTCACTGCAGGTGCATTTTTTCATGCATCAACATCTAAAATCAGGATGCCCCTTACGGTCCGTGGTGTCGCCCAGTAAGAAATGGTGACATCTTCCTTCCTGGGGTAAAATTCCAAAAAGTCTCAGAGATGAGAGCAAAAGCTTGATATTTAAAGTGAATCATGACTGGAGGTCGATGACACGGTCACACAACCTCGCCATCTCTGCACTACCAAAGTGGGGCAACGAGATGCTGGCCCTGTCCAGCTGCACTCGGTGTGGACTGCTCCCCCGTAGCAACCCTGCGTCCACCGTCTCTTCCTTGCAGGGGCCCCAGGGGGACGGGTGGATGCGTGAGGACAGACGGGACCTCCTCCCACCTCCTGAGTGATGAGCCCACAGAGTGTGCAGAAAGGACACGTTGCCCTGAGACATCCACTGACTCATTTCTGTCCAAGTAAAAAGTTTGTCCTGAGACCTGATGCTGCTGCTCTTCCACAAATATAAAGTACATCCTTATGTACAACACCTTTTCAATAAACAAAATGCCCACAAGCAAAACAAACACAGTCAAGGTGATGTGTGTCAAACATAATGGAATTTTCACGGTGAAGAAATAGGAGCTTCCTCTAAGTGACAAAACACAGAACATGCAGATATGCCAAGAGAGTCAGTCCCCATGACCGGGGACCAGAGTGTCACTGCCCCAATGTGTCCTGATTGTCAAAATGTGTGTGTGACTGCCACTGTCTAAACGTGTTTCAAGAAACTGTGGGACTCTCAAAACTCAACTGTGGGAGTATTATCCGGTTTGAGTTCCCTGATTGTGTTCTATTCACTCACTCAAGTTCACGGCGCTGGAATGCAGTCCTCTTAGCGGACGTGGGTCACCTCCACCAGGCCCGACAACATCACAGCGCCGGCGGCCACAGCTGGGGCTCTGCCTCATGCACCCCGATGTGGGGAATGCAGCAGCTGTTCTGCTCCTGGTCCAGTCTGGGGCTTCCTGGGACATGCCCAGGACCTGCCTGGCTCAGCACCTTCCCGGGAAGGCAGCTCTGTGAGCCGGGAGAGGGGTCGGCCGCATGGATGGAGCCTGCCGGAGCTAGAGACGCGACGAGGGGACTGTCACACAGCAGTGGTCAGCATCTCTGCCCGGGTGACCCGCAGCCCAGGACCCCTGTGCTTCCCTACTGTGGGCTTCCCAGTCGGCAGAAAGATGTCACATGTTCCCCACACACTCAGAGTTGGTGACAAGGATCCATGGACAAAGGTCCCAGGGCCTAGGATGAGCAGGTGAGAAGAGCACATTGGGGAACAGCAGCATCCCTGACCCTACACCCACGGGACCATGTGCTGCGCGGGCAGGTGAACAAGCCTTCAGAAAGGGAGGGCAGCTGGGGACAGGACCCCGATGGGGGCGGAGAGCATGGCGATCCCCGGTCTGGGGCTCGGGATGCGGAGACCAGGCTGCGAGCGAGTCCGGGGCTGGCCGCCGGCGACCCAGCGCGTCGGCAGGGAGCAGGGCGGACTCTGACGGAAACTTGTTCCCTCCCGCTCTTGTACTTCTTTAAGAGGCAAAACATTCTTTCGGCTCTCAGAATCAACCCAGGCCCTGTGCGGGCTGGCTGTGTAGACGTGCAGTTCCAGCCCTTCAAGTATGTCTCAAAGAGGCAACTGCCACCAGCACAGGGGGCAGCAGCCACTGATGAGGTCCTGCCCGGCCACGCGGTCCAGGGGCGAGTGGCTCTCCACGCACTAGCGCCCACGGAGCTAGGACCAGATCACTGCTGTCTCATGTGGTACAGAAATCCTGCTGCTCTTGTTACGGAGAGGGATTGGGTGACACACTGCGTTTGAAACCATGGAAGTACTGAAGTATCTGCA